AAAATTCAAAACCAAAACCAAACCAAACTTAAAAGTATCGATATTTTTGATCGGTTTGATTTGGATTTCGGTTTGGTTCGATTTTTCGGACTTTTTAACACCCCTATCAACAAGTACAGCTTTTTCCCTATATAAGTTTATTGATATTCATTAGGAAACGGAAACTTACACATTTTTTCTTTCTTTAAATGAAACTATAATACGAAAGGAGTTTGCTTCTTCTTTTTAAGGTACAAAACTTATTTCTTTGTATATTACTTCTTCGTATGAACCCGTTTGGTAAAAATTTTGGGTATACCACTGGTCACAGACCGTTCGATATCGTATCGTTCTCCTTTATGTTGTTAATTTCTCTCAGTGAATATTTTTTAAATTACACTAAATTACTTACAAATGTACGAATGTGATATGAGCAATGCAAATCAAGAAATTTTGTTAAAAGTATTAGAACTTTAATATACATCTATATATCAATTATAATATTTAACCTACAAATACACAGTAAGTATAATTTTTTGACAAAACATATCAATTGAGCAGACTTGCTAGTTCTAGCAGCAGCAACAACAACAACAACGTCCCGAAGGGACGGCCCAGTGGGTTTGGAGGGAGTTTTCCACACGGGAGACGCGGGTTCGATCCCCCCTCAATGCCTTCTGGGTCTGAGCCTGTCGCACGGGGCTTGCCTAGTGCGGTTTACATTCCCTGTGTGGTTTGCAGGCTATTACACAGTGGGAGGTTTACCTAGTGCGCACAGAGTGCTCACCCGAAGGGCAGAGGCTGTAGCGGCTGCGGGTTTTCCTGGGGTCCCAAAAAAAAAAAAAAGAACAACAACAACATACCAAGTAATATCCCACACTGTGGGGTCTGGGGAGGGTAGTGTGTACGCATACCTTACCCCTACTTTGTGAGGATAGAGAGGCTGTTTCCAATAGATCCTCGGCTCAGGAAAGCATAAGCACCATATTAATGAAAATATAGACAAGAAGACAGTATCAAAAAGCCATATAAAAACAGAATAAAAATAACAAGACAGTAAGGTGATCAACAATAAAGAAAATAACGGTTAGTCATAAAAACCTACTACCAACAGAAAGCGTGACTGCGTATCAATACTAAGCTGCGCCATGTCTTGCCTAATCACCTCACCCCCACCTCTTCTTTGGCCTTGCTAGTTCTAGCTCCACCCTTAATCTGGGAACCTTTTTTCCTCTTCTTTTTGTTTTTTTAAATTGTTTTTTAAGGCTTAAATGAGTCAATACCTACCTTCTCAGTTAGTGGCAATGAAACCCGTCTCGACCCTCCAAATCTTAGCTATCTTTACCTAAACATAACACCGAAAGTTCATTTCTTCTGACTTCAACGTTTACTTGGAAAAGAAAAGAGAAGATAATCTATTATATATCTGTTTACCCTAATATTGTGTTGTTTGGTTCTTCCGTAATGAACTTCCCTCACTCAGATTTGGCAATTTGATTAGACTTTGGGCTTGTCAAAGTGAGCCTTACATGCATTTGTTAGAGTTTTTACCACTCAATCATATAGTTGTCGCCAGGGGTGTTCACAAAAAACCCGAAAAATCGAACCAAATCGAAAATCGAAAATCAAATCAAACCGACCAAAAAAACCGATAGTTTTTAGGTTTGGTTTGGTTTTGGTTTTGAATTTTAAAAACCGGTCAAATTTGGTTTGGTTTTGGTTTTAATAAAAAAATAACCGAAAAAACCCGAAAAAAACCGACTATAAAAGTAGCTATTTAAATTTATTATTACACCTATATATATGTATATTTTTATATAAAGTTTTTTAAAATTTTATGGTACATATTAGTCATTTATATTTTTAGTCTAGTTCTTTGCTAATATAATAATCTAATTAATTCTTTGCCTTTACATTCTAGTTTGATTGGTAGTTTTCTTTTGCTAAGTATAAGAATTTATTTCATGTTAAAAATAATTGATTTTCAATTGAGTACTTATATTATTCATCACTATTTGATTCAATTATCATCAATAAAATCTTGGTAAATGATAGGTTTTTTCGCAATTAATTTGATAGTGTTACGTTGAAAATGTAGTCGCCGGAATATGCGTTTGGTAGTGTATGTTTCATATTTAAGAAAAAACCCGATAATAACCGAAAAAACCGAATCGAAAAAAACCCAACTTAATTTGTTTGGTCTGGTTCCGATAATTGAAAAACCGACTTACTTGGTTTGGTTTCATTTTAGGGAAAA